GCTTCCCTCTGAGCGCTTCCACCTTACCTCATCGCTTCCTGAGAAAGGTGACAATGGCCAGGTGAGCAGGCAGGAGGTACACTGCACGCTTGCTACCTGCCCCTTCTCTTACAGAATTTACCCGGCTTTTTGAGTAACAGAAAACTGCCTTGTTTCCATCGAGCTAAAGAAACAAAACTTCACAGCCGCCCCTCTCCCCTCGCTTTATTTCAGGCTCTGCCTCGCTTCCCAGCCAAGCTGGCAGTGCACACATCCGTGGGGAAGGTGAGATTGCCCACTGGAGAGAGGAACAGGAGTTTCGCAGCACTTTGAGTATTTTTGAGACTGAAAGCCCAGGAGTGGTGCAGGTTGGAGCTTAGGGCGTCCTGTTGTTCCAACCTACTGGTGTCTCGGAGGTGCTGAAGAGCAACCTCTCGCAAATAGCGGGGCAGTTTCTGTTTCTTACCTGCATAGTGGAGCGGAGAGCCTCTCCCTTTCCCCCTCTTGCTGCCCCGGGGAAGGTCTCTCTGCGGAGCGGTTGGGTGGCAAAGCCAAGGCCGCGGGTGGGACGAGGGGCAAGGCTCCCGGGTTTCTTGCCGAGCACAGTTTCCTTCCCTGGCTCCTTCACCCGAGGTCTCGTGTGAACCGAGCGGTGGTTTGACTTCCGTGTGGGGCTCTCCTGCCTGGGGAGGGAGCCGCCCCTGCCTGGCAGCGGGCAGGTATCAAGGAGGAGGCGATAAACCTGCCCTTCACCCTCGCTCGAAGGAGTGGCGAGCCCGGTGCCGCCCAGCAGCGTGGGCAGGGACTGTGCCGAGCTCCTCTTGCCAGCCCCGTCGTCCTGCTCTGCCCTTCTCGTGGTGCTGATGCTCTGGGCTCTGTCCCGTGAACCTCCCCAAAGAGGTGTCGCAAGCAGGGGCCAAGATAGAAGAGGAATTAGCAGAAGCTCTAGAAAGCGTTAAACCGTTTGTTACTAGGTGGGAAAAGAACCTGGCAGCACCGGGTTAACGGTTGGACGCGATGACCTTAAAGGTCTTTCCCCAACCTGAACGATTCTGTGATGAAACCTGAAAAGAGAAAATAAAGCTGAGCTGTGCGTGAGCCGCCTGATTCTGGGGCTGAAGGGCTTCACAGAACCCAGCTCCAGTGCTCTCCAACACTTTGGTTTCCCTGTGTGGTCTTTAGAAACCCTTCTGTGAACCTTGGAGCAAACCTGAGAGGGGCTGAACCGGGAAATCCTTTCCTCGTGCCTCTCTGGCTGGCAAAACCAGCCGTGGGCTTCTTTCCCCCATGTGTTGATAGTGTAGTTGTGTGAGGGGCGTTGGGGTTTGGTGTTGATGATTATGGGAACACCTGTAAGTGCTTTCTAGTCTGTGAGAACAAGTATCTGCTCCCTCCTGGCTGAAGAGGAACGCATCAAAGTGTGCTCAGTATGTTCCTCCTGCCCCCCTGCTCCTTCAATTCCTGTCATTTCTAAGCCAAAGTGATTTTCTAGAGCATGACTGCTCCAGCCTCTGCTCTGCTCTCCTGACAGTGGTTGTGTCGGGATGCCGGGCGCTGTCCTGCTGGAAATCGTAACCAAATCGCCGAGAGCTTGTTTTGTCGTTTGTAAAGACTCGATCTACGGCTTGGAGCAGGGTATAACTCTCTTTTCACAACAGGGTGTTACGCGCGAGGCAGGTCTGACAGCTCTCCATAGAGCTGTTCTCTGGGGTTTTCCATCGCTCTAGTTCCCGAGGTGAGAAGAGCCGCCTTTTGTGGGAACAGCAGAGGGGCCGGTGACCGCTCCGGATCCCCTGGAGCTCTCCAGCAGCCTGGCTGTGGTCACTGGGGCTAATCCTGGCAGGAGGGGCAGCTTCCCCAGGGTTGTTCCAGGTGAGGCAGCATCACGCTGTGGCTTTGCCACAGATTCCCGATCAGACCTTTTTAAAAAAAGAGGGGAGGGGTGGGGAAAAAAGGAAATAGTTGTCTTCCAAATT